CTAATTCAAAATGTTTTGTAAAAGTAGGTTTAATTTTAACTGTATTTTCTTCTGTAGAATGGTTAAAGGATAAGCAGCCAGTATTGAGAAGATTCTTCAAGTTTCCTTTTCTAAGCTGCTATTTTCAATTTGGGGGAAGGGGTGTAGCCATTATTTTGAAAGTAAAACAAATCAATAATACTCAGTGCCAAAGCATATTACCACCAGGGGAATTAAGATGAAAAAAAGAGGGCCACTCTACTAATGAAATCATAAAACCCCTAAGCACAAATATACTGTGTTAGAATCTCATTAGAGGTGCAGTCACAAAAGGATGATACACTAAGAATGTCACATGCCAACAATTAAGATAAAAAATTATTCTAACTTTAAAAAAAAGATGAAAACTAACTTTGACTCACTGTCCACTATGAACCCCGATTAGTAATCTCCTCCATAGTGTTTTTCAATTAATAAGTAGGCCAGGAAGCAAAGCCAAGAAGTAACGAGACAAACTGTTTAAGGTATGCTTTGAATTCAAAGGTCACTACAATTGGGAACCTGCCTTCAAAGGCTGCTGTCAGACCTCCGATCCACAATTCCTATCTCCCCTTCCATTTCTGGGTATGTGTGGGGCCCTAGTCCCTGACTTTCTGCTACTACTCTCTTCATTTCTGCAGTGTCTGAAACAGCAAAGCACAAGGGAAGTCTGCTCTCCCCTGACTCAGCCATTCTTCTGCTGGAAGGACTGTATTTTTTCTTGGTAATGAGAAAACAATTAATTAACAGAAAATATGCCAGCTTTTACCCTTTTTTAACAAGCAGGTATGAGGTCACCTTTAGTGACGAGATCTAAAGAAAAGAAACACATGGCCACTTGAAGTTCATGAAACTATACTCTTTAAATTACATTCCTAGAAAAATGAATGTTTTAGCCTTTTAGATGGTAAAACTATGTAACCGTACATCCAGTAGATGGAACCAACCCCTTCACCTCCAAGAAGACATTTTAAACTCTGCGAGTAACAGTTCATTTCTCTTTACTAAAACATGTAAAGCACTTTGTTGGCGTCTCTACTGAGGAGACATCCCACAATATGCGGCAAATGATTTTGTATGTATCACCTCTCTCCTTCTAAAACGAAGAAGATCAAGTGAAGAGATGATTTCTTATTCATCAAGCTATAGCAAAATTTGAACGAATTAACTGAGCTGAAGGCAAACACGTTTTTCTCATGAGCATGCTGTAATACATCTAAAATGTATTCATCTTTAAAGACAGATTTTTTAAAGCTACCTGGCATGATCCACTTTATGAGCATTTTTCTTCACTTTAGTTGGAGAATCAATCTTCACTCCAAGGCTTCTTAGTTGCTTAAGGGTTGCATTAAGAACACAATCTTTGTCCACCAATCCTGAATCATGTTTTTTTTTCTTTGTATGGTAAACATTTTGAGTCCTGGTGCATTCATGACTGATAATTACTGCTTTTGTAGATGGTTGTTCTGTTTCTTTACAAGAGTTATTTAAAAGATGGTTCACTTGACCCTAATGAAAATAAAAAGGACACATTTGAGAAATCATGAATCACCTTAGAAAATAATAATATAACAATAACAGAAGAAAGGATAGAGAAAAACAAATAATATTGTCTTGCCAAAGCAGTTTTATAAAAGAAGCCAATGCTAATAAATGTTTTCATCAGACCTTACACAGGAAATGTAAAATGTTTATTCATAAAACACTCATTTAAAAATCAACAAGCTTAAAAGCACTTATGCAATAATCTACATATTTTTAAGGATTTGTGCTCAATCCTTTATAAATAAAAAATTTAAAGCAAGCTTTTATCGGAAAAACCTGATATTTCAGTTGTAAATTAGACTGTCACGTTATTTTCAGAATCGGGTTCCTTTCTTTTCTCTTTCTAAATACAAGAGTGACATGTGATATTATTTTTGCCTCCCTAACATTAAAGCATATTTCATTCCCTGAACAATAATAATTATCATTTTGCAAGCATGGATTATGTCCTATTTTGGTTACATCACACATAGCTGCTTGCACTAGTCTGGGTCCAGCAGACAAATAACAAATATGTCTTCTTTGATGAACACACAGATCCTTACAAAGTATTTAATTAGCCTTCATTAACAAATGGAAAAATCCAGTATCCCAATGCTGACAAACTGGATAGGTGTCAAAAGCTAGGATTATTCAATCTTGAAATCTCAGTTCATACCCTTAGTTTTCCAAGAAGACTTTCTTTCAACCAGAATGATCTCTTTTGATTCTGTGTTCCCTTTACTTTTACAACAAAACACTTGTCAGCCTGCCTTTAGTATTGATGACCACGTGTTGCTATTTCCCATCAGTTATTGAGGACAGAGACTGCCAGGTTTATGTTTATAACTATCCACATTTCATCAACATCTGCTTCCCTAAATTCAAATTAGTATACACTATCATAAATATCCCACTACTTTCTAATTTTAAAACTTAATACACAAACTCTCACTTGCTTTTTTTTCCTGGTACTAAATTTAGTTTGAATTTAATATCACCTCTTATATAACTACCAGCTGTTCCATGGGAGAAACATGAGACTTTCTGGTCCCATAAAGATTTACAGCCTCGGAAACCCTGTGCAGGATCACTATGAGTCGGAACTGACTCCACAGTACTTAACAACAATATTTAAAAAAAAACAATAGTTTTTTCCTGGTTAAGAATTTGATGTTTGGCATATTAACAGTAAATTACTGAACTTAGTTTACCATAATTTATGAATAGTTAAAAGACACTAATGTTTTTATGTCAAGATCACAATCAGTTGAAATCCAGGTAAGTATCCTATACGAAAAGATCTCAAGAAGGTGAAATGCTCAACATTTTGTTTACCAACAAATCCTGGTAAATTTTCTGGTTGTCTGATGGTTGATGAGGCAAAGGTTGCATTACTTGCTCAGGTTTTGGTTCCTCTGATGTCACAGAGTTGTTACTAGTACCCTCTGTTGGTCCAATCTGTAAGCACATGCTTACACTCTCTGCCAACAGGGAATTTGGAAAGAACACTGGCACATTTGGGTCTTTTCTCTCCAGAGATGAGCTGTTTGAAAAAACATAAAGTAAGTATTAGTTATCAAGGTACCTTCAACATGTATTTGAAGTGTCCTGGTGTGGTGCTGTGGGTTAATGCACCAGACTGCAAAGTCATTTGAACTGCAAGGTCAGCAGTTCAAGCTCACCAGTTGCTCCTCGGAAGCCCTATACAGGATCGCTATGGGTCAGAACCGACTCGATGGCACTTCACAACAACAACAACTGTAAAGAAAGACGCTCTGGTAATGTAGTGGTTACGAATAGGGCTGCTGAGCTCTGGTAGCGTAGTGGTTACGAATCGGACTGCGAACCGCAAGGCCAGCAGTTCGAAACTACCAGCTGTTCCGCGTAAGAAAGACGAGGCTTTCTGCTCCCCTAAAGATTTACAGCCTTGGAAATGAGTTGGAGACTATTAATGCTGCCACTTTGCCAATCCATCTTGCTGGGGGTCTTCCTCTTTTTCTCTGACCCTCCACCTTACCAAACATGATATGCTTCTCCAGCGACTGGTCCCTCCTGACAATATGTGTGAAGTATGAGAGACGAAGTTTGGCCTTCATGGTCTCCAAGGAGCACTCTGGCTGCACTTCTTCCAAACAGATCTGTTGGTTCTTTTGGCAGCCCATGACACTTTCAATGTTCTTCAAAACCATAACTCAAAAGCATCAATTCTTCTACGGTCTTCCGTATTCATTGTCCAGCTTTTTGCATGCATATGAGGTTATTGAAAATACCATGGCTTGGGTCAGGTGCACCTTAGTCCTCAAGCTGACATCTTTGCTCTTCAACACTTTAAAAAGGTCTTGTGCAGCATATAATGCGATATGTTGTCTGATCTCTTGACTGCTGCTTCCATGAGTGTTGATAGTTGATCCAAAAAGAATGAAGTCCTTGACAACTTCAGTTTTTTCTCCATTATTAAGAATGTTGTTTATTGGTACAATGATCCATAGCAAAAAAAAATCCTGGTATTAAGATGTTATTATTTTCATTTAAATGATGAAGAAATAGAGGCACACAGAGGTGAGGAAACTGCTCAAAGTTACACAACGTAGGAAGAAAATAAAAGCCAAAGGTAATTTAGAACTCAAAGTAATCACTGTTAAGATTTTAGACTCTCTCCATCTTTTCCTTTTTACATGTTGTTGTTGTTAAGTGCCGTCAAGTCAATTCCGACCCACAGCAACCCTGTATAGGTTTTCCAAGGAGCTGCTGGTGAGCTTGAACCTCCAATCTTGCAGTTCAAATGACTGTAGTCTGATGCATTAGCCCATAGCACCACACCAGGACTCCCTTTTTATGTAGACATAGATGATATTCTCCCTTCAAAATTATACTATGTTACATGTCGTTTCGGGAGCTAATTAAAAAAAAACCCAATAGTATAAGAACTGGACTGCTAATTGCAAAGTTGGCAGTTCAAACCCACCAGCTGTTCCTCAGAACTCTATACAGGATTGCTATGCATCAGAACTGACTCGATGGCATTTAACACAACACATCAAGTGCATCTTCTCATTAAATCAACTTAAAATAAAACTTTAATGGTTACATAATTATATAGGTATGATATGACTTTTCTCACAATATTTGCTTAAAATATAGGTTATTTCTAGTTTTTCTACATTATTAATTTTAACTTGATATGAAGTGCTAAGCACAGTGATGGTATATGATAAGCTGAAAAATATTAGCTGAAGTGAATCTTTATAAAACATTAGTCAAGACAGAATTATAAAAAAAAGATCAGTATGTTTTAGTATATAAAAAATAAGATTTTTTTACATGGCAAAAAACAAACAAAACAGAAACCAAGTCAAAAGACAACAGAAAAAAGGGCAAAGAAATATTCACTACCTATACCACAGACAATGGGTTAGCATCTTTTATAAGAAGCTTTTAAAAATTGAGGATCAAAATTCCTGATTAATGAACAAAAGCAATGGCTCATTAATAACTTGTGATATGCAGCTGACACAGCCTTGCTTGTTGTGGACCTTGCTTGAAGAAGACTTAAAATACTTATTGATGAAGACAAAACACTATAGCTTTCCACTGATTGCACCTCAATACAAAGAAAAGGACCAATAAATAAATAACACCATGATAAATGGAGAAAAGGTTGATACTGTTAAAGACTTCCTTTTGCTTAGATCCACTATCAACACTCATAGAAGCAGCAGTCAAGAAATCAAACAACAGATTGAACTATGCAAATCTGCTGCACAAGACCTCTTTAAAGTATTCAAGAGCAAAGATGTCAGTTTGAAGACTAAGGTGTGCCTGACCCAACCCAAGGTATTTTCATTAGCCTCATATGCATGTGAAAGTTGGACACTGAATAAGGAAGACTATAGAGTAACTGACGCATTTGAATTATGGTGTTGGCAAAGAATACTGGAAGTATCATGGACCGCCAGAACAAACAAATCTGTGTTGAAAGAAGCATAGTCAGAATGCTCCTTGAAAGCCAGGATGGCAAGCCTTCGTCTTTCCTACCTTCAGACTTATTATCAGGGGGGACCCCGTCCCTGGAGAAGTACGTCATACTTGGGAAAGTGGTTGTTGTTGTTAGGTGCTATCGAGTCGGTACTGACCCATAGCAATCTTATGCACAGCAGAACAAAACCTTGCCCGATCCTTGGCCAACCTCACTACCGATGCCACGCATGAGTCCATCGAGGCTGCCACTTGGCCAATCCATCTCATCTCGCTGGGGGTCTTCCTCTTTTTCTCTGACCCTCCACCTTACCAAACATGATGTCTTTCTCCAGCGACTGCTCCCTCCTGACAATATGTCTGAAGTATGAGAGATAAAGTTTGGTCATCTTGGCCTCCAAGGAGCACTCTGGCTGCACTTCTTCCAAAACGGATCTACTGGTTCTTTTGGCAGCCCTGGCATTTTCAATATTCTTCTCCAACAACATAACTCAAAAGCATCAATTCTTCTATGGTCTTCCTTATTCACTGCCCAGCTTTCACATGCACATGAGGTTATTGAAAAGACCATGGCTTGGGTCAGGCGTACCTTAGTCCTCAAGCTGACATCTTGCTCTGGGAAAGTGGAGGGTAAGTGAAAAAGAGGAAGACCCTCAATGCGATAGACTGGCACAGTGGCAGCAGCAATAGGCCAGTGCAACAACCATTATGGAGATGGCTCAGGACCAGGCAGCATTTCATTCTGTTGCTATGAGTTGGAACCGACTCAATGGCACCTACCAACAACAATATCTATAGTATGCTAATCTTTATCTATAAAAGGAATGTAAGTAAGTAAATACAAGAAGGGTTAGTTAGAACTAGAGAGACTGGTTGTCTAAGAGGAAGGGTGGGAAAGGGTTAGAAAGAAAGGGCAATAGAGATTGGGTTACAGGGATGAGAAGGGGTTGGTAGGGGAACACTTCTCTGAGTATGCACTTTTTTAGACCCACAGTAACATTTCACATACCCAGAAAATATATGATTTCAACCAGGATGTGGGGGACCTCAAAATGAAATGCAAAAAGTAACAAATGAACTTAATGGTATTATAAATTAGTAACATAGCTACACTAAAGGAAATGAGGAAAAGAACTAACCTAGCAATTTTAGAGGATAATGTAAGGGTAAAGACCAAAAGAACTGTATACAAATTGTACACTAACACTATTACCTTATTTAGTGAATCTGTTTTTCAGGGGTATGTGCTAGCAATTCTGGAAGCACTCCATGTTGAGTATTCTGAAAGTACTTGCAGTTGAATTTATAGTATTGGACTAATACTAACCTACCACCTATCAGTTTCACAGACTTCTGTGTTGCTATAAGTTATGCCACAGGTATTTTCAACATCAGTAGGATCACCATGGTAGACAGGTTTCAACAAGGCTTCTATACTAAGACAGACTAGGAAGAAGGAGAGGCAGACCACTTCTGAATGAAAAACCACTGAAAACCTTATGAATAGCAGTGAAACAGTCTCTGATACAGTGCCAGAAGATGAGTCCCTCATGTTGCAAGGCACTCAAAATACGACTAGGGAAGAGATGCCTCCTCATAGGAGTCTCATAGGAGACTTGACTTAAATGACATGAACAGAGCAAAGCTTTTGGGACATTCATCTGCTGATGGGGCACAACTCAAAATGAGAAGAAACAGTGCAAACATCCATTAATATAGGAATGTGGAATGCATTAATTATGAATCTTATGAATATTGGAATTGTCAAAAATGGAAAGGAATGCATAAAGGTCAGTGTCCTAGGCATGCAAGGCAAAATGTGGTACTATTGAATCCGACAATCATATGGTTTACTATGCTAGAAACAAAAAATTGAAGAAAGGCACCACATTCATCATCAAAAAGAATATTTTAAGATCTATTTTGAAGTACAATGCTGTCTGTGATAGGATAATATATATATGCTTATAAGCAAGACAAGTTAATATCACTATTATTCAAGTTTACATACCAACCACTAGAGCAAGAAAATCAAGATACATTTATAATTATTGGTGACTAGAATGCCAAAGTTGGAAACCAAGAAGGATATGTAGTTGGACAATATGGCCTTGATGACAGAAACAATGCTGGAGATTGTAAGATAGAACTTTGTAAGACCAGTGACATTGCAAATACTGTTTTTCAACAAATGGCAGTGGAACATTCTCTGATATAGAGCCAGAAGAAGGCACTCAAAATACACCTGGATCTCACCAGATGAATCAAACTAACTATACCTATGGGAAGAGACTATGCAGAAGTTCAATATCGTCATCTAAACAAGGCTAGGGGCCAACTGTGGAACAGATAATCAATTGCTCTTATGCAAATTCAGGCTAAAGCTGAAGAAAATTAAAACAAGCACACAAGAACCAAACTGTGACCTTGAACATATTCCACCTGAATTTAGAGACCATCTAATGAACAGACTTGATGCATTAATGACTGAAGACCAGAAGAATTGTGGGATGACACCAAGAACACCATATATGAAGAAAGCAAAAGGTCACTAAAAAACCCCAGAAA